CTATAATAGCCACAGAAAAAGAGAAATTCAAATTGCTCTTAAACAGATGGAAAGATGCTCAACCACATTCACAATAAGAGACATGCAAATTAAAACTACACTATGATACCATTCCCCATCTATCAGATTGGCAAAAATCTAAGTTTGAGGCTATGAGGAAATAGACACACTACACATTACCAGAGGGAATGGAAAATATCAAAACCTCAATGGAGGGGAATTTGGCAATACCGAAGAAAACCAACAGCAAAGGCCTGAAAACTATCAAATGTCCCTCAACAAGGGACTGGTTGGCTAAATTATGGCATATCCACATCATGAAACCTACCTATATATTGCTCCAGAGTAATTCTCAGGCTATGTTGCTAAGTGTTGCATAAAATAGGGTGTAGTATGCTATCTTTAATTTTAAAAGAGGGGGATATGAATGTAAATATGCTTATATATAGTTATAAGTGGACAGAAAATCCAAAACCTTTTTTAAAATGACTATCTAATAGAAGGGCTAAAGCTAGATTTCTCTGATTATATCTTGCTTTATGCATCCAACTTTAGAACCATGTAAATGTTTTGTATAATTATGCTAAAAATAAAAGTAAAATGAGATAAATGAACCTAAGTGTAATATTAAGTTGGCAGTTTAAACACAAAGAGAGGGATTATTTAAAGTAACTTTATCACAAAGCAATTTGTATAGTCCCTAATGGAACATATCAAAAAGATAAAAAAAAAAAAGATCTTTAACTGTTTTCACTAATCATATTGTTAGTAATGGATTTGGTATTTTTATTCTGGAACCAAGATTCTCGGCATGAGAAAAGATATGTAAACATAAAATCAAAAAGTTAAGTAAACATTCTGTATTCCTAAATTTGAATTGGAATTATCTGCATTAACTCACAATGTGTTTCCTCTTAACAATTCCATTTTTTTTTTTAAAGCTCTACTCACTGAAAAGGCCTACAAGGGAAAAAAAAAAAAATCAATCCAGTGAGCACCCCTAGGGCTCAGTTATGGTCTCAATGCCATTTACCACTAAAAAGAATCAAGACTCCTTGGAGAAATGTCTGATTCCAGATTTGGGGGAGAAAATGTATAAGATGAGCCCAAAACATCTCATCAAACAAGAAAGCAAGGAAGCTATGAAAGATTACTGGAATTGTGTCAAAAGAACTTAGAAGCAAGTGTGACAGAACTCACTATACAAAGGGACAATTTTAGCATCAAAAAAGAGTAACTGAAATGAATTGAAAAATATAAATTTTGCTTAAAAACCCATGAGTTCATAATGATACAATGGGGAAAAATCCTCACTGGTCATCTACACAGGATGCTAGGGAAAAAAATCTTCATTCTGAAGATAAAGAATCAAGGATTTATCCTGCCTTTCTTGTAGGGACTATATCTGAGGATAGCCAAATAGTAGATTAGGGAAAATCCTTCTTTATATAAAACAAGTTAATAAATGAAGAAAGACTGATAAAATCAAAAATCGCTGTTTTGCAAATTGTAACGAGATCATGAATCTAGGTAATGCTCATCAATGGCCACTAAAACCATCAGATGAAAAGCTAACAGGAGTAATTTAGTAATGGACGGATAACATTTGATTCCATTAATCTTATCACAAAACACAAGAAGACATTTCATGTTTCCTGAAAAGATGCAATAGGAAATACAGATCAGAATGTACAAAGTATTCTTACCAAAAGTCAACTTCAATCTAAGCAATTTTCTAGATCCAACCACCAGTTTATAGGAAATAAAAAGGACAGAGGAACACAATAAATGAGACTATGGGGATACGATTAGCAAAATCCAGAATGTAGGAAATTCTACAGGACAAATGACCCAGTATTTTTCAACAAATAAATTACAAGAATGAAAAAGTGAAGGAGAATCAATAGATTAAAAAGGAAATGAGACATGTTACACAAAAGAATGTGTGGACCTTAGATCTAGACATGAACAAATGAAATGGGGATCATATTAATATTAATAATATTAAAGAATTCCTGCCAATTTTTTGGAGAATAGCAGTACTGCAGTTTTCTAACATGTTAAAAAAATATGTAAGTATTTAGGCATTATACAATAGCCGGGATTTGCTTTAAAATAATCTGGGAGCAGAGGGCAGGTGAATGTATAAATGACACAAGCCCAGACACATGTTGATACCTGCTGAAGCTGGGTGACAGGAATGTGGGGGTTCATGACACCATTCTCTCTACTTTTGTATTTGTTTGAAATTTTCTATAATAAACAGCTGTTTTAAAGGAAATTAAGCTGAGGGAAAAAACGTAAGTCACATATCACATCACTACTCTGATCAAATCAGCTTACCCAGAGTAAAAATTAAATTCCTAACAAAGATCATCCATGATTACATCTCCCACTGCTTACTTCTCTGGCCCCACTCCTTCTCTCACTCACTCTTCTTCAACCAACAGGCATCCTTCCTTGCTATTCCTTGAATCTACTGGGCACACGTCTGCTACAGAACCTATGCACTTGCTGTTCCCTCGTCTTAGGACACTCATCTCCCAGAATCTGCTTGGCTCACTCCTTCACCTTCCTAATGAGATCTTCCCTGATCATCATACATACAACAGCAAAATCCCCTGCCTAACATTCCTGATCCCTCTTAGATGGGGGATATGCTTCTCTCTACCACTTACCCCATTTTGGCATACTATGTTTGTTGTCTCCCAGACAAGCTCCATGATGGGAGGGACTCTGTCTTGCTTACTGCTGTACCTCCTAGGCCTATAATAGTGCATAACTGCCCTTGCCTACTGTAGGAGCTTAATAAATACTTGTTGAATGAATAACTCTGGATCAGAGAAGTAGAGAAAGTAGTTGTGGGGACAGGGAGCAGAACAGGAGGAAGGAGAGAACAGATGGGCACAAAGAAGCAGAGATAAGACTGGGGGAGGTCATGAGAGCCCCTCCTCCCAGTTCCAAGCCATTCATAAGGCACAACTGTGCCTCGAGTTGCTCAACTTCAAGACACTCTTCAACTTTCTCACTTGCTTTTCATTACTTGCAACTGAAAAAAAAAATTTAATATACAAACTTTGGCAACTTTCCTGAATCTTGGCACAGCTGACACACAGAGAAGGAAAGGTACAAGGGAACAGCGAAGACTCCCCAATACCCAAAGCTCCAAAAGCAGCTCTTTCTGCCCACAGTGTGGGAGAGAATGGAGCAGAGCGGGAAGACTACAGTCCTTAGGGTCAGACTGGCCAGGAGAAGAATTCTGACTTTGCCACTTACTACTGGCAAGTAAGTAACTTGGGAAAGTTACTTAGCACCTCCGGACTCCAGTTTTCTCACCTATAATATAGAAATATTAACAGCTAATTTGTTTGACTTGCATGAAGATAAAACAAACTTAGTGGCTGGCATATTATAATCCAGTGGTCCTCAGAGGTGGTTACTCATCAGAATCTCCCAGGGAGCTTCCAAAAAATAGATTTGTGGACCTCAACCTTTAACTACTGAATTCCACAGTCAGGGCCTGGAAATGTTTACAGAATGTCATTGTGACATGCACTTTTAGATGCATTTCTGACTTTTATATAGCCACTGTATCTGGGAACTGTTGTTTTAAGAAACCAGTAACAGAGGTTATATAAAGAAAACTTCATGAATCATAATTGATATAAACTACATTATTATTTTAAGTTATTATTTAACTTCATGTGTAAATAGGCTTGTCTTCTAATTAGACTTCAAACTTCTTGAGGACAGGAATCACTTATTCCCTGAAGCACCTAGCATAGAATTACTATGCACACAGAAGTTATGGAAGAACTACTTTTTAAATGACTCAATTAATAAGAGTAATAACTAATTTTGTAAAGAATATACAAGCATCCTTTTAAAACAATAAAATTAAAAATGCCACATCCTTGATTTGACATTATTCCTGACAAAGCTGTCTTCCAATGACATCATCTTCATATTTATCTGTGCAGTTTTAGTTATGGAAATACTAAAGGATCTTACTCTAAGGTATTATATTTATCATGTGGTCTCATAGCATATGGATCAGCAAGTTCATAAAGAACTTAGGGGTTTGGGCCAGATGGCTTCTCAGATCCCTTCCAACTCCTCTATGAAAAGGCTGCATTTATGCAGTGTCTTAAAGGATGGACTGGATGTAGATAGAACAATTGTGGAAAAGAACATTCTACAAGAGGTCATCATATTCATAATGATGATTCTTCTAGTGGGAAATTAAATAAAACAAAGATAAGAAAAACAGGTGAAAGAGTTTTTAACAAAATGTAATTAGCAGAAAAAGAATGGAGGATGAATAAATGATTATCTAACCAAAATTCCCAATTAAGATTAAAATGATTTGGTCATGGCATCTCTTGCCAAAACAGAGTATACATTTGAGAGATGTATGAAAATAGAATGGTTGCTCCATTTGCCAAGCAGATGTGCAGCTGACTGCTGACTCCACTTTTCTAACAGTCAGGATACCCCGAGTGCCAGTCTGTGATAACAATGGAACCCAGCTTAAGAGAAAATTCAAAGATATTCCTCTGTACATTGGTGAGGTTCACTCTAACAATTAGGAGTGGCCACCAGACAGGTTGTTGGTCTGGCCAGGTTCAAGGTCAACATTTCAAAACATAGACAGGCACATTAAATAGCTTTTCCAGAAATAAGATCGCTTATTTCAATATTTTGGGTCAATTACTGAATCTATGTGAAAGAAATAAGAGGGACAGAAACTGAGGGAGAGAAGTATACACACAGAATGGATAGTGTGGTTAAAATGAAAGCAAAAAGGGGATTATTTATTTCTCCAGCATATTCTGTGAAACACTGAACAAAAGTTAAAGTGGATTAGACTTTAAGGAGTAAGTGGGGAATGTATCAAATTTTATTAGATGTATCTCTAACTCCTAGATTATTAGACACATCAAACTTTAGGTTGAGGAATTGTGAAAGGGGTTAATGCAGGTATATTTGAAGTGCTCTGTAGCTGTTTGTTAATTTATTTTTTATATTTTAATTTATTTTTTATAATTTATTTTTATAATTTTTTAAGGTATAGAAGTGAAGAAGGCAAAACAAAGCGTAGCCAGATAGACAAGCTTATTAAATTGGCTCTGAATTCACTAAGGAGAGAGAAATAGGAAAAACATTAAGATAAATAAAAATTCTGAAGCAAGTGGACAAGAAAAATGATATAAAGGTTTTTCACTTTGTGCTAAATACAACAGAGAAAAGTATTAACTAGATCTACAGAAAAGGACAGCCTAGAGAGATTTTTCAAGTATCAAGAGCAAAACTAAAAAGACATTCAGGGAAAACTACAGGAAGTCACAGAAGTGAGATATAAGAAAGAGAAAGAAGTGGATGAGAGTTCTGTTTCTACATACTCGTCATTTAGAAGCAATTGTTAAGAGAATCATACCCATTGAACACTCCTGGGTTTACAATCATAGTAGGAGAAAGCAATAACCACTTTATACGATGTGGTTTAACAGAAAGAGATTGGCCTTTAGATGCAGAGAGTGCTAGATAAAAAACATGGCTCTACTGCACTACCACTTCCCAGCCTTGTAACTTCGGCAAGTTAAGTCTCTCTGAGCATCTGTTTCATCTGTTAATGACAGCAGTGATACCTACACCTTATAAGACCACTGGCATTGGAGATAATGCACGTAAAGTACCTACCACAGCACTAGGTAGGTGCTGCTGTTAATACGATTATCATTAATATTGCTTGTTTTATATTATGTAGCAATGGAATCAGTCAAGAAAAATTGATTGGACATGTATTATATGCCAGTGTGGTAGTGGGAGGTGCTGGGAAGATATAAAATACAGACTGCAGACATTTCTTTGAAAGGAAGAAAAAAAGAGAAAGTCTAGGAAACAAGATAAAACATTAGAAAGTATATTAATAGAATTCTATTTTGAAATTTTTTAAAAAAGACTTCTCTTCTTGCTGAGATTGAAGTTCTGAAAATATGTAAGATGGCCAGCTTTCTAAATAAACATAACATGTGAAAACATACTGCAAATGCTAATACCAGCAACATAATGGTTTGTAACCTAAAGGAAAAAAATTAGTATATATGCAAAAAAGATTGTTATTGGGGCTGTTAATGAGGCAAGGGAAAGTTAGGTTAGAACTGCCAGGAGGAATCTATAACCCAGAAGCCCATCCAAATCATAGGTATACCTCGGCTCTAAGAACAAGGTATTGGCACAACAATTTCTACAAAATGATGTGCTTTGCACACATCAATTCCTGTGACCCAGAACAAAGAGTGACCAAAAAGACAAGACCTAAAGAACACACAGCTTCAGAGGGCCAAGGCACCCAAGTGAAAGATTTAGAAGCTCAAAACACAAGAGGTGTTTGCCTAGAGGATTTAAAAGGATGAATTAAAAATAAAAGCTTTTATATAATATAAACCAAATATACAAATCTCAAATTAACAATTAAAATTATTTCCATTTACCTGATTGCTTAGAATTTCTTTCTTTCCACTGAATATTTTTGCATTTGATCTGGTTTTGTCTTTCTTTTCGGAGTCGTTCTAATCTTTGAGCTTGAAAAGAAATATTATAACTATAAGTTTGTCAATGAAAGTTTACTATAAACAAAGACATAATTAACTACCTTTATATGAATAAAGATGTTTTATATTGCATATGTAGGGAAAAAGTCATAAAATTTTAAAGGTGGCACCCCTGAAAAGCAAATACCAACAAAAACATGAAAATATTCTTGATTTATAATTGAAATTAGAGGATATAAAACATTAATAGAGATCATAAAGATAGTATTAACATGGAAGAGAATAATAAAATGTGAAAACTTCTGTGATTAATATGACATTTCATTATATAAATCATTAATAACGGTCTTAAAGGAATTTTAATGCACAAATGAACTGAAGTGAATATTACATTACAGGAATAAAATTACTGTTATGAATTACTCTACCCATTTCAAAAATTAAAGATAAATGAACTCAGACTAGACTATTAAAGTTTTAAATATAAAATCCTTTATCTAAAAATCATGAAAATTATAAAATGTCAAAGCTATATAAATTAGCATAGCTTTTCTTCAGTGGGCTGAAACAGTTTATAGGTAGTAAAATAAATGATTTGTATCTTTGTAACATTAGTCAAATCTTAAGAAGAACAATTTTTCTTATGCAAAATTTTAGGATATGCTGAAAGGACTAAAAAGTAAATTCCTTGGTCACTAGGATACCCCACAATCTTAATTAATTATTAGCATCGAAGTGCTAGCTTAAGAAATTCCAACAACAATAACAAAAGCATCACCTAAAATTGTGCATTTGTGAGTATATTACCACTGGTTGATCAGTCTTCAAAAGTCAGTGAACTGATCTTTTAAAGAAACACTGTCCAGCATACATTAACGCTGCACACCAAAACCAAAATGGAAAAGAAAGTCACAATTGATGCCACCTCTTCAAATTAACTTCCTCTTGTTAATCTTCAACTTTCTATCCTGGCACAACGCTAATAAAAAAAATAAATTAAATAAATAAAATTTTCTTTCAACCACTTTCAAGGTACGATATCAAATATTCCTGCCATAACATTATGGTAGGGAAACACTGAGACTAATCTTGCCAGAAAATTAAACTATACTGGCAAAGGCATTCTGACAGTGTCACTATATCTAAACCAAATTCCACTGAAGAAAAATACATTCAATTGCAATTAATAAATGTGAAGGGTACAGCCAAAGTAATATAATCATAAAGCTCTCAATTTAGCAGCATTCTCCTACTGAAATCCATTCAACCTGTCATAAAAGATACCATCTCAATAACTTGCAAGGAAGTCAGTTTCAACTAGAGAACTGAGAATCAATGGTTCTAAATTATATTCAAACCTTCACTCAAGTCCTATTTTGATAAAAGTTCCGTTAGATACTGGGAAATACTATTAATTATTTTCATCACAAGACCAAATTATTCTTTGTAGATGTCACTGAATACTGAATTCTGAACCAAAATCTTAACATGCTTTTCACTGTGAATTGCATCCCACTCTGCCTGCAGTACTCCTTTACATACATTATACACTTATACCATGAAAATAAACATGTGAATATTTTCAACGTTTTAGTACATATCCTGCCATTACTTTTCCTGGGAGTTAGCAGGTTACTGCTACTGATTAGGAGATTCTATTTTCTAATTAACTAAAAAAAATACTATTTTGTCATATTAGAACAACTACATTATATAGTCTAAATAATTTATCTAAGTAAAGGACTTGGTTCACCACATACCCCTTGAAAGGCTCCCAAAAAATATAGGCTGGAAAAGGGGCAATGATAAGCTTTTAAAAGCTAACAACCAAATATAAATATGCCAAAGTTGAGCATTTTCAATCTATGAAAATCAAAGGGTAGAGATCAACTAAAGAAAATAAAGGTAATGTAGCAAAAACAGGGGCACCTTTTCTAATCTCACACCCGATGAGGAATTCCTACCAAAAGCAGCCCAAACAAATATTCAGCTGTCTCTCTCCAGTCCCCTATTCCCCTACAGTTCCTCCAGGGCCAAGAACTGTCTTGGGCAGCAGCACTCCTTGGCTGGTCAGCTCTCTCTATTAAGGGTTCTTTTTCATGTCAACCTGAAATCTGCCTCCGGGTAGTCTCCCTACTGGGAATAATGTTGCCCTGTGAAGACAGTCACACAGTCCACTGCCCTCTCTACATGGTGACTTTTTAGAAACAGAACATCCAACATTCTCATAACCAACTTCTTCACCTATTCTTCTTCTACTTCCTTATTCCTCTTCTGTCTACTTCCTGCTAATAGCATCATTCCAGAGACTCTCTCCATTCACAGAGATGGAGATGTTGCTTAGACTCACTATGAGTATAATACATGCATGTTCCTGTTAATACACAGTAACTTTTTTTCCCCATTAAACCTATTCCAACATTATGCATTATTCTTTAAGATTGTTTACTGATTTAAAGCTCAGAAGACATGACTAAAAGGCAACGTTTACCTGTATTTGAGCGTCTTCTAATACCAAAGTCCCAACTTGAGGTAATATCGACTGACTGGGCATATACATAGCCCTGAGTCTCACCATTGCTTCCCTGAATTTCTGACCCACTGTCTCCAGGCATTGAAGGATGAATCTTCTCTAGGTCAACATCATGATCAATGAGAACCATCTCACACATTCCTGTGTCATCACTGGTCACATGTGACTGTCGAATATGAGCTAGAATGATAGTTGGATTGTCCAAGAAGGCCATCCTTTCTGTGGGCCAATTTCCTTAAAAGGCTATTTTCTCCTCTTCATATTGTTTCACGGGCTCACCTACCTAGAAACATGATGTACACAGCAATATTTAAGAATAAGGCAGAAAATGACTGAATCATTTTTTAAGCAAGTTCAATGTGGCAAAATGCTACCTTGAAAATCAACATTTATCCCTGTATCTAAGAGCTTAAAAGGATTAAGCCTAAGCTGAAAGGAAATCCTGATAAACACTAGGGGCTACCCCTCCAGTCGATGAGATCTCCATGGGACAGAGGATGGCTTGCTCTTTTGCAAAGCAAATAACAGTATCTTCTTAATCAGGCCACTCAAAGCATATAACTACTGTTAAAACAATAAATTTTCCTTCCTTTCTCCCTTCATTCCCATGCAGTCTTCTCATTACCTGATAAGGTCATGGGGGAACAAGTTGTATTTCCCTCAAATGATGTACTAGAGTATGAAACTGTATTTCTTCACTTTGTATTTCCCCCTCCTGTCATACAGTTGTTAAATGTCTAAAAGGGCACAGACAATGCTTTCAGAGCTACCAGGAACTGCACAAAAATACTACATATTTGTACACACCACCAAAGTAATTTTGTTCAATAAATATATTTTCCTTTCTTCTGATTTAAGATAGTATTGTGCTTTAAAATAAAACTTATTAATCAAACTTGTCTGCTGCCAGACTAATTTCTTATTTTAGAAACCTAATTATAAGAACTGCTTCCTGAGTCTTGTTAAGCTGTAATGATGCTTATTCTGGAACAAAACGGTACCACCTCAGTTAAATGGGAATACTCAAAAAAGGAGTACTCAACAAAGAACAAAGGTTCTTTAAGCAGAATCGGGTTCAAATCCTGGCCCTATCATTTACTAGCTACGTCACCTTCATCAAAATAACCTTAACCTCACTAAGCCTGTTTTCTTTCTTCATTTATAAAACAGGGGTTACAGGGATGAAAGGATATATAGAAGGTAATACAGGTAAAATGCTCAAAAGAGTCCCTGGTATATAATTAAAAATTAGCCGCTATTAATAATAACAACAGTGGTAAAAATATCACTACCAATTTCAGTTTTCAATTCTTGTTTAAAGTAATCCTACAATATATCAATAATTTATCCTTCTTTCATAAGTTCACAGCATGTAAAATAAGTGTATGCTTCCTTTGTAACAGAGAACTCCGCAGGTCATCTGGGTCACCTCTAAAACTGTCATTAAGTGCAAGGAATGTGAAAGTTGGACTGAACAGTTCCTAGTAACAGTCCTCGAAGATATTTATTTTCAGAAAGACCTAGAACACCAGATTTTCTTGCCATTTGTTTCTCCCAGAAATGGAACACAGTGGGAAATCTAGTTAATAAATCATTATAGCTAACAGGTTTTAAAATTTTTTGCCTGGCAACAAATCATTCTATTGACATCACCTGGTGGATCTTAAAGATACCAAGATTAAGAGGAAGTTTAACTGAGGAGCATCTCAAATCAAATGAACTACATTAATCTTCATTTTTTCCCCTTAAAATATTCACTAAGTACTTATTTTATACTGGAGCTAATGAGAAATGCAAAGGTGAGTGAAGTGTGCCTGAGTCAAAAAGTTTATACCCTAATACAGACCTCCTAGATCTCCTAATATCATGGGATTCTTCTAAGTGTCAAATTTCTGAGACACTTAGTCTCAGAAAGATTAATGTCAGCCCACCATTTTAAGTGTACTAATCAGAAAAAAACTATAGCAATAAAGGAAGCATTTCAGTTTCACCTGTAAAAATAAGAACTTCTTACATAACCACAGAGATGTATACAACCATAGAAATAATTATGAGAGTACTTGCTTTGTAACAGAACCACAGAATCACAGATCAACAGAGCTACAATCTGGTACCAATCACGATAAGCATCTTCTCCTTGAAAATAAGGCAACTAGGCGCCAGCACAGGGGCAGGTGCTTTCAACTTCACACTGATTAGTCACCCCTGCAAAAACAAGGGCTTCAGTAAGAAACCACATATTTAATGGGTGTTCTGGCACCAAAAAGGCGAAGGGCAAAGCTGGAAGGTACTGGAGTATCTTCAACAGAATCTTTTTCAGGAAAATGTATCTGCTCCATCACCTCTTATGAAGAAAAGAGTTTTGGGCAAACACTGCTGAAAGCACATACCAACTCCCTAACTATCCTTACAGAACAGGGGCCCCCCCAGACACCCCAACATGAGCAGATATCTCCTCTATTAGTACACTATGACTTCATACAATTAGGAATCGGAATGAATCACTCAAATATTTATTCAGTACCAGTTCTGAGAGGGAACTCCCACTGGACTGCCCTGGGAAACATGTTTCCACCTCTTATGACATGTACTTGAGGATTCAGACCCTAAGTTCCACAAGGACAGGGGCCATAACACCATACCCTTTCTGGCAACAAAGAATCTTACACATAGCAGGAAAGGAATTCAATAAATTTTGCTGTCTGACTTCCAAGACCTATACAATTTTGTCTTAGAGATAAGTCATATGAACATGTCATGTGTTAAGAGTGACTATGAAGAAAGAATTGCTTTTAAAAAAAATTAATACAGATACAAGAATTTCTATACAATGTGCCCTTCAAAATTGTCACCTTGGGACACTATCAACTTATTCCAGTGCTTTTCAGAACCAACAGAATATGTTTTAAATCACTTTAAGAGTAGCCAATTATCGTATGAAGGTAGATTTGCTTTCTAAGACAAAGATATTCCAAATACAGACAAAAACAACTTATTTTCTCTGACCAGTTGTGCAAAGATCAAAGATTTTTAAAACCTACTGTTGGCAGGGATTCAGAGACATGGGCACTCTCAGGCACTAAGAGAGGGAATGAAAATTGGGACTTTTTAGAGGGTAATTTGGTACCATGTATAAAAGTGTAAAAAACTGAATACCCTTTGGCCAACCCCACTTCTAGGAATTGCTCTTAGGAAATAATTATGCAAAAATATTTATCTCAGAATTGTGTAACTGAAAATCTGAAATAACCTAAACACCCATCAATAATGGCTATGCCATGACACACACATACAGTGGAATACTACACAGCCATTAAAAATACATGGTAGAGAATGGGTAAACAAAATATGGTATATACAAACAATGGAAAGTTATTCAGCCTTAAAAAGGAAGGAAATTCTGAGACATGCTACAACATGGATAAACCCTGAGGACGTTATGCTAAATGAAATAAGCTAGTCACAAAAAGACAAATACTGTGTGACTCCACTTGTATGGGGTACCTAGAGTAGTCAGATTCACAGAGATAGAAAGAAGAATAGCAGTTGCCAGGGGCTGGAGGGAGGGAAGAATGGGAAGTGGTTAATAGGTATGTTTCAGTTTGGGGAGATGGAGCAGTTCTGGAAATGGATGGTGTTGATGCCACACCAATGTGAATGTGCTTAACACCACTGAGCTGAACCCTTAAAAATGGTTAAAATGGTAAATTTTATGTTATACATATTTTACCACAATTTAAAAATTTTAAATCTTTTTAAAATGCCTGGGAAATGCCACATTAAACAAAATTAAATAGACTTTCTTAATGCTGTTTAATTATAGCGCTTCTCAAAGTTCTTAAACTACTAATGTATATTGTGAATCTCCAAGAGTGAGGAATCCAGTAACACAATATATCCCAAATTCCAAATTTATTTTCCTCTAGGAACACTAAAACAAATCAGCATATAACAGAGTTTCACACATGGTTTTGAAATGCTGCTCTACACTTTTACAAACAGTGTTTCTTCAGGTCTTGAATGCCTTCCCTGAATGTCACCAATTCTTTGATTCTCTGAGATAGTCAGGTCCTTTTATATGCCTTTAGGCCATCAGATAAATAATAATTTCAGGTTCAAAGGAGACTTATTCCCCTAAGATGTCCTACTTTTCAGATTCTCCCTCTTTTTAACTCTATGTCCCTCAAGGCATAAAGATTTGTTTTTACTAAAAATTCAAGCAAAAGGGACATTTATGTGGAGTGGGAGGATAGTAAGACATGTCCCAAAAGGACATGGCCACTTTTAATATATTGTGTGATCTCTTTTTATATTTCATTCATTCATTCAACAAATAATTATAAAGTTCCTACTACATGAAAAGTGTGGTTCCAGGCGCAATTTGGAAGCTAGTATCACTTTACATAACCATTTGATTTGTGTTCATTAATGATCATTAACCTGCCTGTGGTAACTTGGAGCATACCCTAACAAGGGAATAAATTTTTAGTAGGTTTTAGTGGGTATCAAGTCTTAGAACAACTTTTATTTTTAATACTAACTTTATGCATATACACCCTCCAAACTTAATTTATATATTGTAATGTATTATAGAAAAACATAAGGTATGAACATAGGAAAAAAAAGTAGATGAAAAAAAGTGACAAAGGGGAAGTAACTCAGGATAAATCCGAAAGTCAGAGCCTGCCATGAGATTGTATACATTTGCTACAGGTAGACTGCAGAATTCCAGAACCAAAACACAATTATAATAGCTAACCTTAACTTATTATAAAAGCTAGACTTGTCTTTTTTCTTTTTACAGCAATTAATTCATATAATTCTCAAAATAAGCCTATAAGATAATTACTATTTTTATCCCCATTTTACAGATGAAAAAACTGAGGCACAGAAAGGTTAAGAAGCCTGCCCAAAGCCAGACAGTGAATAAGTAATAGAACTAACAGTCAAATCCAAGAGCTTGGGATCTTAACCACTATACAGCCTCTCAAAACAAGGGGAACAAAGAACTACAATAGCTATAATAAACATGATTTTTAAAAATCCTGTTGGTGAATTTCAGGGCCTAAGAGAAATTTCTCCTATGGGTCCTTGTGAAAGATGTAAGACAGTAAATGTGTTGTACAGCAGAGAGCCTTCCCTTCACTAACGCAACAAGACTTGTACAAGACCAAGAAACAGGCAGCACACTTATGACTGTTCAAACTAAAAATCATAAAATTTTCCACATGAAGTAAATTCTAGATATCATCAACTAGTTAACCTAAAACCAGAGGAAGTTTACTTTATATTTCCAATTAGGTCTAAGTATCTTTTTGAAAATCCCTAGAGATTCATGCAACTTCAGCTACAAAGTCCATACCTGAAATATTCTGTCTCTTTAAATAACCCCACCAGAAGCAAATGAGCTCTTCCTTATACTCCTCCACTCCATAAGGACCTGAGATCATAATATGACTTAAAATGCTCAAGTCCAGCCAATAGTTAAAGAGAAATTCTCCTTTCTGGACCTTCAAAACACTATACATTCATTTCCTTCTGCCAGACAGACTTCAAGCCCCCTCACCTGCAATCTGTGAAAACTTGTCTGAATAAGGAACAGCCTGAGGCTTCTCAAAGGTCTGCAAACTCCCAATCAAAAATTACTGCTACCCCATCAATGTGTCATATAAATGTTGGCATGTTAATTGTGTATTTATAAGATTGTTAATGGTTAGTTAATTTACCTCCCACACTATTATTGTACTTGAAATGATTTAACGTCTGCTGAGGGAGTTAACAACATGTAACAGCAGATGCGAGTTTTATTTTTTTTTTTTTTTTTTACCTTTCCACACTGTACCCCGACTTCATGCTATTAGCATTAGGCAAGTTGAACCTGATTCCTACATAGGAATCCTCAAGTGTTACAGAAGCATTCACATTTATTTTGCACAGCAAGAAATGATTACAAATTAGAAAAACAAAAGCCTTTTTATTATATACAATGTCTTCCATTTATAAAAACCAACAGACCCTGCTTTTTACTAAGATTTCAACATTGTTTGATCTAGTTAAAGTTTAGAATTTCTCATTCCTGGAATTAGAAAATAAGTGAAATGACCATTAAAATAAAATGCTAGTTTATTTATTTTAAATATCTTTTTCTAATTCTCTCCAATTTAAATTAAACTTTCATTTATTCTTTAGAACAGCTAAATTGAGCTTTTTTTTCCCCCCTTGGGGATTAAAATCTTCTCCATGTGAATACAACTAATTTAATTAAATAGTAAACAATGAGACCCTCTATCTGAAGAGTTTAATTTTTCCTTTCACATTTTAATTTCTATACTCTGATTAAATGTATTTACTAGACTAAGTTACAGCAACAGAAAAGAAATACTGTGTCTTCTTTGGAGTAACATGGGATTCATTCACTGAACATCATTGCGAGCTATGCACTGGGACTCCTACAAAAAAATTATATGAACACTGGCCTGCACCCTCCAGAGGCTTACAAACTTCAGCAGATGAGCTATGTCTTGTACATACATTACAGGAACATAAGGCAATATACTAACCATCAAATGAGACACTAAGACAGTATGTTTTCCAAGAGATAAGAAAGTTACAAAAGGCTTTAGGAAGGTAGGTCACATTTAAGGATGGCTAGGCTTTCATTAAGCAGAAACACAAGGAGAACAGTAATACACGACAAATACTGAGCCTTTTACTATTGGCTATACTTCTCATATAACAGCATATTTCATCCTTACTATCACCCCAGGAGGTAGGTATTAATATTATACTCATTTTATAGATAAAAAAAATTGAGGCTTAAAAGTGTTATATAACTTGCCCAAGGTCACATGGTAGATTTTCTAATCTTTGCAGCTCCTCTAGTCCGAGATGTAGTCTATTTCCCCACCCCCTGAATCTGGGCTCCCTGGTAGTTTGCTTTGACCAACAGAATGTAGTGGAAATGATGTGGGACTTCTGAATCTTGGTCTCAAGAAACCTTGTAGCTTCTGCTGCAGCCTTCTTTGGACCATATTTGAATTATGGGAAGACATTTGAGATAAAAGATCACATGTGGAGATTCGGTCATTCCAGGTAATCTGATGCCATCCCCCTCCAACCCTGCTCCCATGAGTGACTGAGGCCATCTGGGACCAGCCAGTCTCTCAACAACCTACCAGGAGACTAGGTCAACCTACCAGGAGAGCCTATTAAACATCTTCTTTGGACAGAGGGACTGTGACCCTTGATTATTCTTTCCTTGTACCACTACAAGGAACCTCTACCTGAAATGTCTTACCATCTGCCAAGACCCAATCAAAGGGAGACTGGTACAGTATAGTGCCTCTCCAACTTGTCCACGGACACACCTGAAGGGCAAAGGAGAGTAACCATAAATCAGGGACAAGAGGACCTAGGAGGAGACACCTAAAACAACATGCTATAAAAATTTATATTTAGAAGTCATTCATATTTTGCATTCTATCCTATAATATACTGCACCTGTATTTGTTTTAATAGAAAAAATATTTTACTTTCGAATATAATCACTAAAATTGATAGTCCAGGAAGATGTGCCACGCTTAGTTTGTGGCTTCTAGGATCCACTGGCACATACTGGGATTCTCATAATCCCAGTTTGAACAGTAAGGTCTACTGGAAAAGCACAGACTTTGGTGTCAGAAATACCTGATTTTGTGAAGATAAAATGATACTTTATCAATAGACAACTCAGATCTAAATTTTGCTCAACATGTTTCCTATAACAAGTATGAAGAATTGTAACTAATAATAACACTAAACTATATAAAGTTCTAAGCACAAGTCAGACTAAAATCCCTATTATTATGCAGCTATTATAAGACAATCAGCATTTTCAAAGTGTTTTGAAATTATGTTTATTCATTATTTGAAATTACTGTTATTAGCAATAGCTATGAAACTTCAGACAACCTAACCACCCACCACCTCCAAAATTCCAAAGCTGCCAATATGTCTGGATGTTATAAGAAATCTGCTAGTTTGGTGCAATGTAGCCCTAAATTATTTTTCCAATGGGTGTTGTCTTTCTGACATAACAGATTTGACTGACACTTGTGATAATAAACAAATAATTTCAGGTTTTACTTTAAGATTTCAAGTTAAAATGTTCACAGTTTTACCTAAAGAAATGAATAATGCCAAAGAAACAAGACTGCTTCTCAATATGAAATTACCATTATAAGAGCTGAAACTGTAACACTCAACTACTACCAAATATTCATTCACAGATTTCATTCATTTGACAAATATTTATAAAGCACTTACTATGTGCCAGGCATCAGATACAACGCTGAGCAAAAAATTTACAAAGACTTGGCCACTGCCTTCATGGAGCTGAAAGCACATATGGTAGTCAAATTTTTAAGATGGCTCAAGAAATTCTTACCTCTTGGTATCCATGCCTCTGTGTTATGCCCTCCCCTTGAGTGTGGGTGGAACCTGACTTGCTTTCTAGCCAACAAAGCACAGCAAAGGTGATGGAAGTCACTCCATTACTTTGTTATGTAAGGCTTCATTCTAGGCAACTGGAGACGGAGATTTTAAGTCAGAGAGATTTTCCTGCTGGCCTTGAAGAAGCAAACAGCCATGCTATGGAACTATGCATGGTAAGGACCTGAGAGCCTCGAGGAGCCAACAGTGGTCCCAGCCAATAGGTAGCAAGGAAATGGGGACCTCAGTTATACAGCCACAAGGAAATGAATTCCACCAACAATCTGAGGGAGCCTGGAAAGAGATCTTTCCCTAATCGAGCTTCCAGGTGAGGCTGGGGCCCATTGACACCTTAATTTCATCCCTTTGAGACCCTCAGCAGGAAACCCAGCTGAAGCCATGACTCCTGACCCACTGAGAGATAATAAATCTGTATTGTTTTAAGGCACCAAGTTTGTGGCAATCTGTTATGCAACAATAAAATGAAAATATACAGTGTAGGAAAACAGCATAAACCTCTTTACCTTCACGTACATTTAAGGCTCTCTACAACCCGGTTTCACTCTCCTGCCCCTTCTCCCAGCATGCAACTCTCAGGACTATTCTGAACATAATCCAGCTTTTGTTAATGATACTCCTTTGGTCTGAGATGTGCCCTTATCCTCCAATATAAACTTTATTTTTTTTGTAAGTCCAACTCAAACATTTCATCCTCTGTGAACTCTTCTCCAATTCCCAGGGTCCAAACTGTTTTAAAAGCACTTTACTTTTACCTTCAATACAGTTAGTTATATGAATATCGTGTTTAAGGACTTGCCAATTTCAAATTTTTTGACCCAGTTCTAGATTCAGAAATGTGGTTACTCTATAAAGGTATAAACAGCTTTCTCCCTTGATCATTTGGAAAGTTGCTGAAGACAGAAATCCCTAGACCCTCAACACAGTAATGCAGTGGTTCTAATGTGGTGGTTCTCAATTGGAAAGCAAATTTTGCTCCCCAGGGCAAGCATCTGGAGACATTTCTGGTTGTGACACTGTGGGGTGGGTGTTAGAATGTGAACTCTAGTGGGTAGATGCCAGGGATGCTGCTAAACATCTTACAGTGCACAGGACAGCACTCACAACAAAGAATTATACCCCCCAGAATGTCAGCATCATTAATGCTGAGGTTGAGAAACCCTGCAGTGATGGGTTGTTTGAAGCCACTGTATCTGGTAATTTCTAAGCCCCTTAGAATGGTTTCATTAATAACAAGATTAATACATATACATACAACTTTGCTTTTAAAATCTAAGCTCAAATCTTTGAAAGAACTAAACAAAGTTCAAGTCCTAGTATCTTTTCTGAAATCTCCTACCCTTAGGAGAACCAAAGCCCAAATTACTACAGTAAAGACAAGCTGTATTCATTCAAACTTGTTTGTTGATCTGAAGACTATCTTTCTTCACCTGGCTACTTCCTACTCATTCTTTGAGTTTCAGCTCAATGGTCAGTTCTTCCAGGAAACCACCCTAATGAACCCCACAGACCAGGTTACCTGCTCCCTTGTGGCCCAATGCACTTCGTCACTACTTCTACCAAATAATTAATCCAGCACATTGCCTGTTAGTTAGTAGTATGTGCTATGTGTTTGCTGAATTTATTCATTCAACAAATATTTATTGAATGCCTACTGTGTGCCAGGCACTGTTCTAGATGCAGAGAGTACAGCAGAAAACAAAGCAGACAGAAAGTTCTACCCTCATGAAGTTCACATTCTAATGATGAAGATAAACAAAACAGAGAATTAAATTATACAATAAGTTAGAAACACTATAGAGAAAATAGTGCAGAGAAGTGAAATAGGGCATGCTAGGTGGGTGAAGCCACTGTTGCAACTGTAGACAAAGTGGTCAAGGAATGCTTCACTGAGGTGACATTTGAGTTAATCCTTGAAGGAAGTGAGAGAACAAGCCATGTGGACTTTTGAGAGAAGTGCGTTGCCAAGCAGGGGGAGTATGCCCAGCACTGATCAAGAAATAGCAAGGAGTCCAACAAGGGAGCAAGCAGTAAACAATGAGGTCTAGGAGAGCAGGTCATTCTGAGGACTTTGCTTTTATTCCAAGTAAAATGGAGAATCACTGGAGGATTGTGAGCAGTGATATAATCTAACCCACATTTTAAAAGAACCTCTCTGGCTGCTATATTAAGGACTGAATGAATGAACAAATGAATGAATCATACTTTTAAAAAAAAATAATAATCTGTATATATGTTGGTTTTCTCCTCTAAACTCTGAGCTCCTTAAGCACACTGACTATCTTATTCATCTCTGTGCTGCCAGTTTCTAGTACAAAGTGGCTGGCACCCACGAAGGGCTCAGTGTATAACAGACAAATGAATCTTTCTTGTTCCCAAAGGGTTGTGACATGATTTTCACAAAAAAAGAAAAAAAAAAGTCCTTTATCCATGGTGTTGGTTCAGTAGGTAGGTCTCCTGCTACAATCTAAGATTTATTTTCCTTTCATTGTCTCCTTGATGTTTGAAGTTTGCTTAAGCAAGTAGAATTCAGTAGAGTTATGTTTCCATTTACCTAGCTCTCAGGTTAACCACATCATCAATTAAGGGAAGCAACATAGTTTACTGCAAGCACCACTCAGGAAACCTGAATTTCAGTTCTCTAATTACCAAGGACCTATTTACATGGTCTTGGACAAGTCACTTTAAATGTCTTTAAACCTGTTTTACACATAAGTCCATTTTTGCATCTGTTAAGTGAGAAGGGTGAATTCTAAGGGTCTTTTCAGCTCTCAAATTCTATTCCAATCACATGTGAGGAGAAGGATGTAACTGGGAGTTTACCTAGAGCTCATTTGAAAAGTTTTGTGTGTAACTGGGAGTTTACCTATAGTTCCACTAAAAAGTTTTCTGTTTTTGCTTCATACTCTTTCTCTCAAAGGCCAGAAGAATTTCACTGCATGTTTTACTTGTATCACTGTACCACAGTTCAGACTTTAAGGATAGAGGTGCAAGGAATTTCTTTCATGAGAAAGAAGATTTTAACAACATCTAGATTTTGGCAGCAATCCGTCTACAAAAGTAAACCACATTGACTGATTTGAGTGGGCACTACCTCATCTTTTTTTTTTTTCCCCAATGCTATTATGTATGGAAACTAGTTCCTAGAACTATAAGAGCTAAAGTTAGTAAATACATCTGGAATTTCAGATTATTGTCTCTAGCCTACCGAGGGATTAGCTATGGGATGATTTCAAGTGAGTTAGGTGCCTCTACCTCTATTCCCTCAGCAGTGAAATATGCATAATCTACGTCCTACTTATCTACCTCATAGAGACACTTACAAAAAGTAAAAAGCACTACTCAAATCCAACATGTAATATTATTGACTTTTCCTGTTCTAGCTACATCTGCTTGGAGGGAAAATAAGCTGCCACCTACCAAATTTATTCATTCAACTCCTAATGAATGAAGGACAGCATAAAATAATCTAAACTAGCTGATAATTCCCAAACTACTGTTATGTGACCTTGAAAGGTGCTTTGTACTTCCATTTGAATGAAGCTTTCACGGTGAGGAGGGTATAGCTCAGTGGTAGAGCATGTGCTTAGCATGCATGAGGTCCTGGGTTCAATCCCCAGTACCTCCATCAAAAGCAAATAAATAAAACCTAATTACCCCCCACCAGAATTTAAAAGCAAAAAAATCTTAAATTAAAAAAAAAATGACTGAAGCTTTTATAACCTCAATAAATGGTAACTTATTATTGTTATTAACAAAACTGCACTAACTTTGCCAGGTATTTTTTATAACCTTCTAAATTACTTTTAAAAAAAAAATCACCAGATGGATCAAACATGAGGACAGAGCAGCAGGACTGGCTTCATTCTGCCTATAATGT